ATAGGAACATATGGGGAATCACTTTATTTGTGTGTACTTATTTGTATGTTTGTGGGCCCCTCCAATGCTGGGGTGTGGGAGGTGAGGGAAAGCTTTCGCTTCACGCGCAAACGCCTCCGGCGGGTGCAGAAGCCCTTGCAAGGCCGCCGTCGGTGGCCTGCCGATCCCCGCGCCTTCCCCCGTTGGGCCGCCCAGGTTCTCCCCAGAGCGGAGGCTGGCTCCACTTCGGGGGTGGAAAATCACCACCCACAAAACTACCCCAACCCAACCCGAAGGCCTCAGTTTGCCCTCCATTTCCAGTTGGGGGGGTTCGGGGAACATCGTAAAAACACGTATGGAACCCATACCCCCCCAACCCGAAATCCGGGTCTTCGGGTTGGGTTGGGGTGGTCTGGTAGGTAGTCAGAAAAGAGGGGGGTGATGACTGGGGGGGGTGGATATCATGGCGTGGGCCATGATATCTCCCCAGATTTCACATGGCGCCTCTTCTGATTTCATTGCGTCCCTGGCCCCCCCGCTGGGCCGCGCACGTGCCGCCGGTCATGATTTGCACCCCCCCCTCTTGGTCACCCCCCTCTTGGCCGTTTCCGACCACTGTGGAGCAGGTCCCCCGCAGCACAAGGCCGGCGGCGACATCGGCGGCAGGGTAGTGCGCCGCCCACTTCGCCCTCAGGGTGGTCACCCGTCCTGACCGTGCGTTGCCCCTTCGCGTCGACTCTGGGGTGGTGATGCGCCTGCGGTGCAGCAGGGCCCCCCCCCTACAGGGGGACTTCGACGGAAAAAAATACCCCCAAAATACTTAAAATATAGCCTGGGGACAATTTTTTGAATATCTTTTGGCCCTTGTGGGGCATTTTCAGGGTATTCTCTATGCTTCGTCGAGAATCCCCCTGTAGGGGCACCCTTCGGGCGGGGCACCAGCCTGCGGCAGGGCAGCTTCCCTTGCCCTGCTGCGGAGTGAGCTCCCCCAGAAAATATCGTCGATCCCCCAGAAGATGTGGGAAAATATGGGAAGTGGAGGGGAAGACGAAAACCTCCAAAATATGGAAAAATATGGGGAATCTTTTTATTTGTGTGTACTTATTCGTGTGTCCCAGGGCCCCTTCAAGGTCCCCTTGCCCTGCTGCGGAGTGAGCTCCCCCCTTCGCCGGCCGGAAGGCCATCCTCCGCGCGGCGGAGCAGGCCCACGTGGCCCCCCCTAAGGGGATCGAGCCAGGCCGCCGGCCCCGTGGAGCCGCTCCACGGGGCCCTTCGGCGTGGTCGGGGAGCCAGCGCATAGTATGTCGCGATGCAGGGGGCCGGCAGCTCATCCGCTGCACAGGCGGCAGGACACGCAACATGTTTGACCACCCTCCTCCTTCTCCTCCTTGTCCTCGTCCTCCTCTTCGTTCCCGTCCTCCTCCTCCTTTTCCTGCTTCTCCTCCTCCTTCTCCTCCTCCTTCCCCTCCTCCTTCTCCCCCTCCTCCTCCCTCTTCTCCTCCCCCTCGTTCTCCTCCTCCTTCTCCTTCTCCTCCTCAATCTCCTACTCCTCGTCCCATGGTGATATGAGCCGCCGAGGTGCCCCCTGTCAAGCATGACGCGCCGTACAGAGGTGGTCTGGGGCTCCGTTGTCTGCATCTGCCATCCACCCATACCCTGGTTGCATCCTGCCGCACGTGCACGCACGCGCACTCAGCGCTGCATATTCTGAGTGCCCCTCACTTGTTTCCTTGGCGTCCTCACTCCGCCGCCTCCTCCAAGCATGCAGGAGGTGAGGAAGACAGCCTCTCAAACATAACCGCCTCCAGCGTGTGCAGATACGCTCCGGCTTATCTGGCGCACGAGCTGAGAAAGGACCAACGTACATCACAGTGGGGGTGGCTGACTAGTAGTATGTTGTCGCTATTACCACGTTTCTGCAACGGTCCTTGTACTTTGGAGCGTCGTTCCAAGGATGGGTGAGCCCATGTGCCCCATCCGATTTCACAGGGTTATGCCTACCCTCAGGGGCACCAACGCTACATTGCAACCCTCCTCCCCCCCTCCCCCCATCCTTTCCTTTTTGTCCTCCTCCGCCTCCTCCCAATCCTCTCCTCCTTTTCCTCCTCCGTTTCCTTCTCCTCTTTTTCCTCCTCCTCCTCCTCTTCATCCTCATCCTCCTCCTCCTTCTCCTCCTCCTCATCTCTCTCAACTCCTCTCCTCCTGGAGGCCTCCCAGGTGGGGCCCGAACAGATTGGGTCAGTGGACCGCGCCGCATTGGCGATGCGTCGCCGATGCATCGCCGATGCGGCTCGATGTGGAGCCTCGCTTTGTCCACGCCGACGGCGCCAATGCGTCGCCGACGTTGCCGATGCATCGGCGATGTGGCGCTATCCTCCGACCCCATCTATTTGGACCTCATTCGTGAGGCCTCCAACGTGGCGTGATGGGGGAATGGGGCGACGGGCGGCGGGGGTGTGCAGGGGGCGGCGGGGATGGGATGGGGAGGGGGGGGGCGATGGCGAGGGGGCAGTGAGACGGGCGAGGAGAAGGAGGAGGGGGGGCGGGAGCGGGAGCGGGTGGGGTGGGGGAGGAGGAGGAGGAGGAGGAGGAGGAGGAGGAGGAGGAGGAGAGGAGGAGCAGGAGGAGGAGCAGGAGGAGGAGCAGGAGGAGGAGCAGGAGAAGGTGAATGAGGAGGAAAGGGAACAGGAGGAGGAATAATAAGAAGAAGAGGAGGACGAAGAGGAGCAGGAGAAGGAGGAGGAGGAGGAGGAGGAGGAGGAGGAGGAGGAGGAGGAATAAGAAGAAGAGGAGGACGAAGAGGAGCAGGAGGAGGATGAGGAGGAGGAGGAGGAGGAGGAGGAGGAGGAGGAGGAGGAGTCACACCAACATGAGAGGCAGGACCATGTGCAGGAGGTCGATGAAAATGAGCATGCGGGGAAGCATCAGGATTTTGAGACAAAGGGCGAGCACCAGAAGCCACAGGAGCGGTACGTCGATCTAAATGGGGAAGGTAGCGAGGAGCAGGAACGCCTACAGCAGCACGAGGAGTTGTTGCTCCGGTGTCCAGGAGCGGGGGGACTGCGAGGCCCAGGGGCGGCGCCAGAAGCAGCACTGCGCAGCATCGGCACCAGGCAGGAGGAGGCGGAGGGTGATGAGTGAGTGGCGGAGGGAGTGGCAGCAGTGGAGGTGCAGGAGCGTGGGGCAGCGGATGTGAAGGCGACTGGTAAAAAAGGAGGCGAGGCGGAGGCAGAGGCGGAGGCTGGGAGCAAGGAGGAGGCGACGGACGAGGAGGTGATGTTGTTGATGATGTTGTTGCTGATGATGTTGATGATGCTGATGATGATGACGATGATGACGAGGCGGATGGGGATGGAGATGATACTGAGGATGACGAGGAGGATGGTGATGTTGATGATGATGACGATGTTGACAATGGTGACTGCTGGTTTTCATGATGATGCCTGGTGTTGATGATGCCAATGATGGTGTTGGACGTATGCTGATGCTGGTGACGGGGGTAATGGTGATGACGACGGTGATGCTGATGCTGACGATGCCGACGAAGATGCTACTGGCACTGATGATGCTGATGATGCTGATGATGACGATTTTGATAATATTGATGATGACGTTGTTGATGCGGATGATGACGATGGCCGCGATGCTGCTGCGACGATGACGGTGGCGTTGATGATGATGATGCTGATGCTGATGCTGACGACGTGTACATTGATACTACTGTTGACGCTGCTGCTGATAACAACGGCGCTGATGGTAATGCTGATGAACAGGATGCCGGTGCTGCTGATGATGAGGATGATGATATTGGTGATGATGACCATCATCATGATGGTGATGCTGATGATGATGCTGATGATGATTGTGCTGCTGCGGGTGATGATGATGATGATGATGATGATGATGATGATGATTCGGATGATGCTGACGATGAGGATGCCGATGTTGATGATCATGATGATGATGATGATGCTGAGGATGATGACAATGATGATACCGATGATGATGCTGATGATGGTGATGATGATGCAGATGCTGGTGATGCCGATGACGATGCCTTTTTATGACGATTGCAAAGACGATGCCGATGCTGATGATGCCCATACTGATGATGCCTATTCGCAATATTATTCGAATCATACTTGTTTTCATTACTAGTGTTATGAGTAGGATCATTATTGAAATTGTTATTATAATGATGCTGCTGTTGATATTGATGATGATGCTGATGATGATGAAGAGGATGATGATGATGCTGACGATGATGATGCTGATGCTGCTGTTGTTCGTCACGACGACGATGATGATGCCGATGATGATGACGATGGAGGTGGTAGTGGTGGTGATGATGATTCTGATTATGATGATGAAGATAGGAGGAGACTGATGATTATGCTGATGCTGCTGCTGCTGATGATGATGATGACGATGATGATGAGAAGGAGGATGATGACGATGATGATACTGATGCCGATGACGATGATGACGATGGCGGTGACGATGGTGAGGACGAGGACGACGACGACGACGACACGACGACGACGATGAGGATGAGGATGAGGAAGAGGATGAGGAAGACGATGATGACGACGATGACGATGACGACGATGATGATGATGATGATGATGATTATGATGATGATGATGATGATGATGATGATGATGATCATGCCGATGACGATGCTGACGATGACGATGATGGTCGGATTCTGATGATGATTAGGTTGTGGTGATGTTTATGATGATGATTATGTTGATGCTTATGTTGATGATGATGATGATGATGATGATGATGATGATAATGATGCTGATGATGATGATGATGATCATAATGACGATGCTGATGATGCTGATGATGATCGATGATGATGATGATGATGATGATGGTTGTGGTGGTGGTGCTGCTGCTCATGACGATTAGGATTCTAATGATGATTCCGATGATCGAAGGAAGAGGAGGAGATGGGCCCAGGAGAAGGGCCAGAAGGAGGAAGGGTGCGCGGCGGGCGCGGCGGGCGCCAGGCGCCGCGGCTGGCACCAGACGTCGTCCGCCGGATGGCCAAGACCTTCTCGTCGGAGCGACAGGAGGCGCGTTGACGCTCCTCCTTCCTCTCTCCTCGTTCTCCCCCTTCTCGTCTTTCTCCCTTTCTTTATCCTCCCTCCTCCCCCCCTGCTGCCTCCTCCCCCCGCTCCCGCCGCCTCCTTCTCCAACCTCATCATCATCGTCCTCCTCCTCCTCCCCCTGCTCTTCCTTCCCCCACATCCTCCGCCACACGCGCTCGCTAAACGGGCACCATCCTGGTCAAATGAACCTAACTGTTCAGACCACGCGCGCGAGCCAATGTCTCATCGACGTCATTACCGAGACGTGCGCACGGGTTCATACAGGGTCCAGCGTGAATAAGGAACACTTACTTGTCAAAAGGGGCACGGCCGTTCCTTTGGTTTGCTTGCGTTCCGCTACCTTTTTGGCGGCGAGTCCCCCTGGTGTCCTTTCGGACTTCCTAGACTTACTTGGAACAAAAAGGGGCTTCGTTCCTTGTTTATCGTTCCTTAGGTCAGGCCGAATACTGTAAGCTTGCATGGCCTTTTGTTGCATGGACGGGTATACGACCACGGGACACCTCGCGGGACAGTCCGCGGGACAGTCCACGGGACAACCCACGAGACAACCGCGGGACAACCGCGGCACGACAGCCCGCAGGGCAGCCCACCGGCCAACCGCGGGACAACCACCGCCAGGAACCGCGCAGCCGCAAAAAAAAACACGGGCTGTACGACTTGGCCCCAGCTGCGCGGGGTCATCGTCGCCATCGCGCAGCTTCGCCTCGCCCGCACGCGCGACACGACACGAACCGAACCGAGTCCGGTTTCCTGGTGGGGTCACTTCGTTCTCACCCCCCGAACCTCTGACATGGCCAGCATGCTCATGTTTTGGATACCACACGTGCGCAGAGTTCGCCGGGGCCGTCCACAACTTTTCAATGTATCACTGAAGTGCTTATCCCGTTCGCTAGCCAGGATTTGGCGAGCGAGGGCCAGCGAAAAGGGGATACACAGCACGATATGCGTTGTAAGCTCCCTTCAGAGTGTGCCTTCAAGGCCTGGGCCATAATGCGCGTTGTGGCCTTCCCGCCACTCCCCATTTTATAATGCGAACCCCCTCCCCGCAATGTGACCCCAGCATTGCTTCCAACGCGCGCATGCAGCACGGGCTCGCAGTCGGCCGCACTCTGACGATCACAAGCATATTGTCTTGTGGTGCTCATGTGCAGGATGTGGTGCCTCCAGGAGTTGAGGCCCCCTGGCAATCCTGCACTTGCCGCTCCCTGGCTCTTTGGTCGCTTCAGCACTCTCGTCTGTTGCCCGTGTAAGCTTCAAGTCGGGCCTGCAGGAGGAATATTCAAAAGTAGGAACAAATAGTTTGGGGACAGGAGGCATGCTGTGGTGCTCACAGGTGTACTGTGCATTGGTGTTTGCACGCTCTTGCTGTGCTCGCATGCGTGCTGCGGTGCTCGCGGGCACCGCGCGGTGCTCACGGGCACGATGTGGGTTCTCGCAGGCTGGCACTGCTCGCAGGCGTCTTATTGTGTTCGCAGCAGATGTCGTGGGCAGGGTCTGGCGTCATTCGATGTCTGGTCGTCGCAAGCGCACGGGTGCGCGCGTGCAGGGTATGATTGTGATCGCAGGCCAGTTTTTTTGGATCGCAGGCGCACTGTGGTACTGGAGGTGTCCCACACGCAGTTGTGTTTGCTTGCTTGTGATGTTGCTGTGCCTCTTGCAGGATGGTATGGTGCTCGCAAGCTGATGTGATCTAGTGTGATTCTGGCAGCGTCTGGCATCCTAGTGCGGACATGGTAATGGTCACAGGATGCTCTGGACCTGGCAGGGTCTGGCGTCCCTGGTTGTCTGGCCGTCGCAAGCGCACTAAGGGTCTCACTGGTGCGCTTTAACGTTCGCAGGGCTTTCGCCGTGCTTGCAGGCTAACGTCGTGGTGCGTACTGTCAGGTCCAGCGTGCTCTTGTGGTTTCTGGCGTTGTGAGGTTTTCTTCGCCTTGTCGTGGTCACGACACATTGCGGTTCTCAGCGCTCACAGGCACACCGTGATGCTCGCAGGCGTGCTGTGGTGGTCGCAGGGTATTGTGGCAGGGTCTGGTGTATTGTCGAGCATACTTGTCGTGCATCGTAGCGCTCACAGGATAGTGTCGTCTTCGCAGGTCTTGGTGTTTGCGAACGTATTGTATTGCGAGGTCAGGCATGCAGCTGTGAGTATCGTGGCGGTCGCGGGCTACTGTGGACCTAGCAGGGTCCGGCTTCCGTTGCCGCCTGGTCGTCGCAAGCATATGTTGATGCTCTCAGTGATGTTGTGGTGCTCTCAGGTTACGGAGGTAAATACTTGTGGTCTTAGGCATAATACGGCGCTCGCGTGCTATTGTGGTATTGTCAGGAGCACTGGCACCGTTAGGGACTGGCACATTGTTCCGCAAGCGCTGGCAGGCTCTTTTATCCTGCGGGGCACGCGCGTTGTGACGCTTGCTGGCACTTTGTGGTGACCGCAGGCACGCTGTGATCGTCGCAGGCATGCTGTGGCTTTTGCAAGCGCACTGTGTTGCGTGCAGGGGCCACGATCGCACCCTGCTGCGAGGCTGTGGTGCACGCGCGCACTGAACAGTGCCAGCGGTGCTGCTGGGGGCACGCTGGCCCCTTCCCCGCCCCCCACGGACGCACGCTCTGAGCATGACAACAACATCTCACACGTGGAGAAGTTCAGACGAACGTTCTGACGCATGTTCAGATGCACGCTCTGACGAACATGACGTCCTGACGCACGTTCTGGCGCACGTCCAGAGCGAAGTGCAGTGGGCATGCAGCGCATTGCCCCCCAGCGGCCTCCAGGAGCTCCCAGGGGCCTTCGGGCGTCTCCGGGGAGACTTCGAACGCCTGCCAGGGGAGCCCCCGTGAGTCTCCAGGTTGGTTTAGAGGCCGGCCCCCAGCGGCCTCGCCAATAGGGGAGGGGTGGTCTCGTTGGAGGGCAAAGATTTGGAGGCGACGGCGCCGTGGCGATGCCGGTAGGTGCGATCGAGGAAAAAGGTGCCGCAGGATCGAGGAGAAGGATCGAGGATCGACGAGGACGAGGATCGAGGAGGAGGAAGAGGATCGAGGCTCGAGGATCGAGACTGAGGAAGGGAAGGATCGTTGAGGAGGATCCCCCTAAGCACGCTAGGGCAGGTCAAGCAGCAGATCTTGGGCCTCGGCCTGAAGGTGTGGGCGTTCCACCTGCTGAACTCTAGGGGCGAGGTGCCGAGGGGCGACCAGGACGCCCGATCCTGGTGAAGTCCGTAGAGGCAGGGAGCGAAGTCAACGTCGGGCATTCGACCGCTCTTCCCTATGTGCTCGGCATCGGAGGGGTGAGGCGCGGCTGAGACTTAATTTAAAACACATAACATTGGCCTGTGCATGCGAGTGCAAGTGCATGTAATGATCTTGGCAGGGCTGGATGAACGGTCACATGGGTTATCTATGGATGGAGCACCTAGATCATACCACCTTATGGTTTTCCCACATGTCCATCAGCCCAAAACGTTGCCCCGACGAGTTGTCCGAATCATGAATCATGGAAGTGTAGGGGCAAGCAGTGTAAGACCGAGAGTGGGGCAGCCGTCGAATTGAATCTCGGGATCGACCCGAGCCAACTACGAAATCTTTCGCGGCCTCTTGGCAGCCTACTTGGGCTATCTCGGGGCCCTCTTGGGGCCATTCTGATGGCCATTGGGGCTCTCTTGGGCTCCTCTGGGAGACTTTTTGGGGCCGTGTTGGGTGCTTTGGGGGCCATCTGACATGCCATCGATAAATAAAAGGAGGTTCTTCGTAATTTCACACTGCGTCGGAGGCCACCACACCGCTCCTTGGGGTGCTCTTGTTGCACTTTTGGGAGCGCTTGGGGCCGTCTTGGAGCCCTTGATGGACCATCTCGGAACCATCTGGATGCCCCAACAGCTAATCGGAAGCGAACGCACGAAGCTGCCATCATACATGATTTTGGTGCTTGAGCTTATCATGGGGCGTACTTTGTAGGCTCCTTGGCCATTTGGAGCCATACTGAGGCGATCTTGGGGCCTTTTGGAGGCATGGTGTCGGCTACCTTGAGCCACTTTTGCTTGTCTCGTGGAGGACATCTTGGGCTATCGTAGCCCTCTTGGGGCCATGGGTCAAGAATGATCCTCTGACACCCGTCCCCCCTTCATCAAACCCAGGGAAGGGGGTAGGGAGAGGGGTCAAGACACCCTCTAGAGAGCAAGCCGTCTAGCTCACTCCCACCCGCCCTCCCAACACATAAGTAACACCCGAGCCTCAGCATGTTCAGCGGTCGTCTTGGAATGGACAGCTAATGGGAACCAACACCGAGCCCACGTGCGCGACGCTGGGGCGAGGTTCGCCACGCGTGCCAGGCGCGCCACGCGCGCCAGGCACCTTTGGGGCCCGAGCGTGCCAGGAACGCCTGGTGCGCCAGATGCGCCACGTGCCTCCGCGTGCGCCAGGTGTGCCACATACTCCAGCAGTGCCAGGTGCACCACGTTCGGGGCACGTGCAGAATGTGTCAGGTGCGCCTGCGCACCTGACAGCACGCATCGGGAAACATGCCGGCCCCCTACCATCCTTGTCGAAAACCAATGCCCATCATTGTGTTTGGCGGGCCTGCGCACAGCAGGCCATACGCCACCACCCCCGCCATCCCTGCCAAAAACCACTTGATGATCGCGGGGTGCCGCGCGCATGATCCAGATTTAGCCTCGAGATGCATTTTGTATGATGTTCTATCAGGGCTGGTAGCCCTGCGCGCAGCAGGCATTATGCTGACACCCCCGCCGCCCCTCTCAAGAAACAATGTAAAGTGCTCGCGGGCCTCACGAACATGACTCCAGACTTTTGACAGGGATGGTGGGGGGTGGGAACATACAGTGATGAACCCCGCCCCGATGGGGAATAATGAGTTCGGAAGAACGACCCCCTAAACCACCTGCGGACTGACTTGTGGTGGGATGAGTGGCTTGCCATTTTACCAGGCGGGATTCGGCCCTGAAGTCTGAACAGATCAGACGATACGCTTCGAACACAATGTGATTCAACTTGGCGGGTTTGACCTATGCTGGCTCATGCGCTGGATCACACGAGAGACCAATGCGCGGCATATGCTCAGACATACGGAGAGACGCGGATACCACATCCTGACTCAGACGGGCACTCGGATCATGTCGGACAACAGAGAAACAGCAATGGGCATGTTTTGTATCCCGTCGACATCATGTATATCTATATGTCTATAGATGTGTGTGTGTGTGCAGGTCAAACATGAGTGCACTGCATAAGTATACCTACATGTTGAGCGATAAGCAACGAGACAGGGGACTAATTATTGAGCTATAAAGGAGGTCGTCGAGCGGGCGAGCGATCGAGCGAGAGTGTGTTACAAACATATAGATGGATATACGCGTGTAGGTGCATACATACACATACATACACACATATACATACACACATGCATACCTACCCTACACACGTGCATACATACCATGTATACAAACACATACCTACACATATGCATCCATACACACAAGCATACACTCACATATCCATACACATGCACATACATGCATACATACTTACGCACATGCACACAACCATAAACACGTGCACACATTCACACACATGCATACATTCATACACACATGCATATACACTTACATACCCAGTACATACACACATGTATGTGCACATACATGCATCTATACACAAACATACGTGCATACATGCATATATCCAAACATATACACGTTCATACATACACACATACACACATGCATACACATGTGCATATATACATGTATACATACATGCATACATACATGCATACATACATGCATACATACATTTACACATCCATACATACGTACATACATACATACGTACATACAATCACCCATACATATACGCATACACACAGACAGACAGGCAGAGACAGAGACGGAGACAGAGACAGAGACAGAGACAGAGACAGACAGACAGGACAGACAGGCAGACAGACGCACAGACAAACCTACATACGGACAGGCAGACAGACAGACACACACACACTTACATCCATACATACATACATACATACAGACAGACAGACAGACAGACATACACACATACATACATGCATACCTAGCTACCTGCCTACCTACCTGCCTGCCTGCTTGCCTGCCGACCTACATACATAGTATATATATGTATACACATACACGTGCACTGGGGTTCCTAGGTCCCTGGCCTGGCCCCCAGCCCACGGGCAAAATATCGGGGGGTACGGTTTTATTACCGCCCTTCCAGGCGTCCAAGACGGCCCGAGACGGCCCCAGAAGGTTGCAAACAGCAAACGAATTCCAAAAGCCCTCCCCAGGACTGGCCAAGAAAGCCTACGATGGCCCCGAGACAGCCCACAAGAGTGCCCACAGGAGGTCAACATCCTTCAAATAAAAGTCCAACGATGGATTTGAAGTTGCCACGGGGCTTCCCACGGACGCTCTCGAGGGCTTAAAATAGGAAAACAAAAAATACGCAGTTTGTGGCACTCGCGCATTTTCGGTTCCGATTGGGTCTTGGGGGCCTCCAGCTATCTCCAAGATCGCCCAGCTGAGCTCCAGGAGAGGCCCAGCACGGGCCCAAGACGCTCCAAGAGGACTCCAAGATGCCCCCACGACGGCCTAGAACCCTCCAAGGGGCGCCCACGACGCCCCAAGAGAGCCCGAGGAGGCTTCCACGAGGCTCCCGAGATGCCCCCCAAGCTGTCCCAGACCGGCACTCCGATTGCTGGCGCCAATGTGGCCCCCGGAGCAGCTTGGAAGCCCGAAGGGGCTCCCAGGAGGCCCCCAAGAGTCTTCCTATGAGCTCCCGAGAGGCCCCCAAGAGGCCCCCAATAGACCCTCTTGATCCGTCTCGGAGTGTCGGAAAGCCGAAAAGGCGAGAAGGCCAACAGCCTTCAAAAGCGTTAGGAACATCGTTGATTTTTGCTTCGTGGGGCCCTCTTGAGAGGCCTCTTGGAGGCCTCTCGGGCCGTCTTGGCAGCATCTTGGGCCGTCTTGGGGCCGTCGTGGGACATCTTGAGGCCGTCTTGGGCTGTCTTGGGGTCCTGAGGCTTTCTTCGGAGCCTCTTCGGGCAATCTTGGAGGCCTCTGGGCTGTTCTGGCCGTGCGGTGGCGTCACCATGAGAATCCTGGGGTCGCCCGGGGCAGCCAGGATTTGAGGTTCCCCCCACCCATTGGCTGTTTTGTGGCGCGGCGGGGCCCCCTAGAAGACAGTAAACAGGAGGCAGGATTCACGACTGGAGAGACAAAAGGCAAAACAACAAGTGACAACACATAACACATGACAGCAGACCGCACACCCCTTCGCAGCCGTGCGCCCCCGGAGTGTGCCGGCGCATAATGAGTTATAACATCTTTATATGTATATGTTTGTATGTTTGTCTGTCTGTCTGTCTGTCTGTCTGTCAGTCTGTCTGTCTGTCTGTCAGTCTGTTTGTTTGTCTGTCTGTCTGTCTGTCGTCATGTTGTATGTCTGTATGTATGTATGTATATAGATATATATATAGATGTATGTGTTCATGTGTGTATGTATGTATGTTTGCAGGTACTGTAATGCGATGTAATGTAGTGCACTGTATGTATGTACACATGCATGTATGCATACATGCATGTATGCATGCCTGTATATATGTATATATATATATATAGATATACATGCGTATATGATTGTTTGTTCGTTTGAATTTAGGTATGCATGTCTGCCCTTATGTATGTATGTATGTATGCATACATGCATGTGTGTAGGTATATATGAATGAATGTACGCACGTATGTATGTATGCATGCATGCATGCATGTATGCATATATGTGTGTATGTATGTATGCATGTGTGTATGCATGTATGCATGTATGTATGTATGTATGTATGCATGTATGTATGCATGTATGTATGTATGTATGTATGTATGTATTTATTGGTGTGCTTGTGTATGTGTGTATGTATGTATGTATGTATGTATGTAGGTAGGTAGGTAGGTAGGTAGGTAGGTAGGTAGGTAGGTAGGTGTGTGTATGTATGTATGTATGTATGTATGTATGTATGTATGTATGTGTATGTATGCATGTATGCATGCATGCATGCAGGCATGTATGTATGTATGAATGGTCGTATGCATGTATGTATGTATGTATGAATGTATGCATGCATGCATGCATGCATGCATGTGTGTATGTATGTATGTATTCATGTATGTATGTATGTATGCATGTGTATGTATGTATGTGTGTATGTATGTATGTATGTATGTAGGTAGGTAGGTAGGTAGGTACGTATGTATGTATGTATGTATGTCTGCGTATGTTTGCATGTATGCATGCATGCATGTTTATATACGTATACATATATATATATATATATATATATAGATATATATATATATATATATATATATATATATATGCATGTGTGGATGCATGCTTGTTTGTAGGCATACATGTCTGTGTGTATGTGAGCATACATATTTAGGATTGTTCTCACATCTGTAAGCACGTGAGGTTCGGGCGTCAGCATGCCGAAGGTGAGGCCTCACACTACGCGTGTGCGATCCCTTGGTACGCGGCTCAAGCTCTTGAGGGGGGTGCTCATCCGTCGCCCGAGCGCGCATGCAGGCGCTGGCCCAGGTGCTGGCGGCTGAGTGCTCGCGAGCGCTCAACATCGCAGCGGTGGTCTGGGGCCTATCGCGGCCAGCGCCGCCCTGCCCGGACTGCTACTGCACGCCTCAGCTGGTCTGCGGCCCAGGAGAGGCGGCGAAGGAGGTGGTGCGTGAGGAGTGTGCCTGTTCGTTCCCGTGGGTGGTGCTGATCGTGGCGGCCATTTTGGCCTGGAGCGTGGGCTACCTCTTCGGCTCTCAGCGCAGGGGCCTGCCTGTCAAGCCGTCAGAGCGCAAGTGCTTGCCCGTCGCCTTGCTCGAGGACATCGCTCGTGATCAGGCGGCGCGGTTTCGGTCTCGCAGTCTGTCGGCCCGCTCGTAGACGATCTGGCGAACCCTTTTGCAGAATCTCGGTCTTGAGGAGGGCGATGTGACTGCCGTGCGCTTCTGCGCTCCTGGACCTCGGATATGGCACGAGCGCGTTATCCTGCTGCTCCCGCCTGGAGCCTTGCCCGTTGTCAGTATATTGACGCCTGACAACGATCAGTGCGAGAAGGACCTGCCAGCGGGCGGCGACATCTTGGAGTTCGCGTTTCGGAATGTGCCGCTCCCAGCCGCGCTCCAGGGGTTGCGAGATGCCGCCGCCAACCGCCTCCGCCTGCCTCTGAGGGCGGGGTTCTCGATGAACACGGTGGGCCGCCCTGGGTTCGCTGGCATGGCTGCCGCTGGTGCTGGAGTACCTGGACTCGCTCCTGTCGGAGCTGCAGGCGGCGTGGCCGGCCTGGCCGCCGCGTTGGCAGGACCTGAGCCCGCGGCGCCTGGTGGTGCGCTTGCGGCCGGCGGTGGAGCAGGCGGCGCGGCCGCGGGCCTTGCGCGGGGCGGCAGGTTCGTCCCCTTGGCAGCGCTTGCCATTGGCGCAGCCGCCGCCATAGGGCCGGCGGGGGGGGGTCTGGTGCCGCCGCCGGCCTTTGCGGGCGCGCCCGCCGCAGGCGCCGTGCCGGCCCTGGCCCCCGCGGGCGCCGCGGGCCACGTGGCCCTCGCGGGCGCCCGCGCCGCCGCTGCCGCGCCTGCTGCGCACGCGGCCGCGGCGGCCGCGGCGGCCCTGGCTTTCGGCGCCGCCCCTGCTCCCGTGGCGCCTCGCCGTCCTGCCGACGTTTGCGTCCAGCCCGTGGCCCTCGACACAATGCGCAACCGACGCCGGGTCTTCAGGGATGCCTCCCTCTTGATGCGCAAGGACGCCTGGCCCGACTGGCCGATCCGGGACCCGCGGACTGTCATGTGGGCTTTGCGGTTCATAGAGCAGGACGGAGGCAGCCCGATGGGGCGGCACACGAGGTTTCGGACGGAGGCCAGACTCTCATCGACAGATGTTGGGGTAGATGAACACGAACGGGCCTTCCGTATGCTCGAACAGATGGTGCTGTATGATCAATTCATGGTCACCAATTTGGCGTGTGCCGAGTTTCTGTGCCGTGTGATTCAAGTTCTTAAGAGAGATATCGGGGCCGCCTCGCAGGGGGCTCAGAGGGGATCGCCGCCCACCATTTGCACATGGGGTCGGATATGGTCTGCGGTCGTGCATGCGCGAGCCCCCAGCTAGTAGAGCATGTGAAAGATCAGTTGTCGAAGCAATACCCGATCTTCAAGGGGCGCCGCAAGGCGCGCGAGGAACGGGCCCCGGCCAAGAAAGGCGCCAAGAAAGGCAGCAGAGACGGCACGGGGCCAGGAGATGGTTAGTGAGCTTCCTCCGGATCTGGGAGATAGGCGCCCAGGCTCGAGCGACTGTTTGAGCCCTTCTTCCGGCGAGCGTCGGCAGGGGGGCATTTTCCCGCTTCCTTTGCTCGAAGCCCCGTCCCGAGCTGCCCCCGGCCTGCGTCGGGCCGCCACTCGCCGCCGCCAACGCCTGCGGCATTCAGTTCACTGGGCCAGCGATGCTGTTCGCGCTCTCAACCAGGCGGCAGGGTGCGAGGAACCTGCCGGCGTTCCCTCATCTCGTTTTCAGAAAAAGGTGCTCGACCGTTTCAGCGATTGCCTCTGTCGCCTCGGCCCTCCTCCCAGCGAGGCTGGCTTCGCCAAGGGAGCCCTCGGCGAGCTTCTGAGCAATCATTCGTTTTATGGGGATGCGGGCTCCGCCCGTCTCAAGTCTCGCGACCTCGTCGCGTGGCCTGACGAGGGCGCGGCCCCTGTGAACTGGCATCAGCTGCTCTCTCCGGCCGATTCCTCGCGGCTTAAGGATTGGACACCGCGCGCGCTGGGGCCAATGTCGGAGGCCCAATCGCTGGTGCAGGAGGCTTGCCCCGAAGGGTCCTACATGGGCCCCGCCCTTGCTCGCTTCCCCTCTACCTACGCCGACGTCTTAGCCTGCCTCGCCCGTCGCGGGATGTCGACATTTCATCCTGCGCGAGGGCGGGGGGGGTCTTCTCGGAGTGTCTTGCGTGGCCAAGAAGTCGAGCCTGTTGCGACTTTTCTTCGATGCGAGAGTCGCCGATGGTTTCTCCCAGTGCCCTCCCTCTTCTCGCCCCCGTCTGCTTCTGCCTTCTCTGCCGTCGAATCCAGAGGGGGGCCTTGCTGGGCCGCGTCGGGTGATGTCCAGTGCGCATACTATTACATGCGTGTCCCACCAGAGTATCAGAGATGGTAGAATGGTTTTCGCTTCCGCCGAGCCGTCTCGGGGCGCTTTTTTGTTCGGGCTCTTGTCCGTGATGCCTCGGAATCTCTGGCGCCTGCGCTTTGCGCTGGGGCGCGGCTAGCGGCGTTCCGCTTTGGATCTTAGCGGGGCGCGCCACCTGGTCTTCGACGGTGCGTCGAGAGGCTTTGTCAATCATCAATGCCTGTTGCGCTTCTATCGAGACGACAGGGGGGTGTGACCCCCCTGGCCTCAGGTGGCGCTGGAGCTTCGTAGATTAGTTGCTAGTCTTCCTCGCCTCGCTACTGATCTGCGTGCAGGGTGGCATCCGCAGATCTGTGCTTCGGGCGCTTCGGAGTTCAACCTGTGCGTGTGTCATGGTAACCTTTTTGTGGTGCAAGTCGCTTAACTGGATCGCGTCAGTGAGCGCGTGACGTATCGTGTGGAGGTCGCCGAGAAGGCTCGTCTTAATGCTCTTCGGGGGTCTCGGAGCTCTGAGGGGCTCGGCGACGTCGGCGACGTGGAGGCTACGGCCATCCTGCAGGAGTGCGCGCCCAAAGGGTTCATGGACGTGGACCCCCTGCTCTTCGAGGAGATCCCCGCGGACCTCATGAGGTCTCAGGACTGGAAGGATGTCTTGGCCGTTCGGGCTGGGCACGCCGCGGACATCGTGCAATTGGAGGGCGAGGCCCTCGTGTTGGCCTTCAAGCGTATCCTGCGAGCTGAAGCCGCCGTCGGGCGGAGGGTGGTAATACTCGTTGACAACGTATGTCTCGCCCTGGCCTGCTGGCAGGGCCGTGCGAAGTCGGTCCACCTCCAATCTGTGATGTCGGAGATCGCCTCGTTGTCCTTAGCGTCGGGATGTCGCCTGCATGTCCGTTGGGTCCCGAGCGAACGTAACCCTTCAGATGCTCTCTCCCGCGGCCGCCTTGGCTTCTCAGGCTGCTCGGCCCCCCGCCGCCTTCCGTCCGAGGGCGACGCCGCGGGCTGCCCCGGGGCGGGCGAGGGCGACGGGAAATGGCCAGCGCGAGTCTCGCGTGGCCGCTGCACAGCGCCTGACCGCCGAGAGGAAGCCGCGGGGTTGCTGACCGTCCTCAAGCAGATCGCCATTCGTCCAGTGACGGAGGCGCTCTACAAGAAATCCGCGACAGCCTTCCTGGAGCATTGTACCCAGAAGGGCCTCGACTGGAAATCGGTGGAGGAGATGGGCTCGATCCTGGCCCTGTACCTGAACGACTGCTTTCACCGGGGCGCGTCGTCCGACCGCGGGGCGCAGCTACTGGCCAGCCTGTCCCGCTTCTACCCGAGCCTCCGCGGCGCGCGGGAGGCCCAGTGGCCGCGAGCCATTCAGGCCTCGGCGGCGCGGCAGCAGGGGGTGCCCGCAGGGGCCCGCCTGCCGATGCCGAAGGCGGTGGCGATGGCCGCGTGCCTGCTCCTGGCGGAGGTGGGCGTTCCCTGGGCGGCTGCGCGCTGAGCTCTCTCCTTTGTGGCTTACCTTCGCCCGGGAGAGACGTTCAAGTTGAAGGGGGGGCCTCGTCCCGCCGTCGCCTGCGGCGGGGTGCCGGTGCCGCAACTGGGGTCTCCCACTGCGCGACGCGGCCTCGCCGGTGCCATGCAAGACAGGGTTGCGCGACGATTCGTGCTGATCGACTTAGATCCGCGGCTGTTTTCCCGCGCTGGAGTACCCGCGGGCGTCGAAGGCTGCCGAGGACAGCCTGTGGTCGTTCGCGGCCGCGGCCTCGCGGTTCAAGTGCAGCCGCTGCCTGAGCTTGCTGGGCCTCCCGCAGGTGTCAGACCACCTGTATTGCCTCCGTCGCGGAGTGGCTTCGGACGACCTTCTCGTTCGGCGCCGCGATGCATTCCAAGTGCAGTTGAGGGGCCGCTGGGCGTCTGCGAACAGTCTTTAAAGATACGGCAAAGAGGCTATGTTGTTAGCCGAGCTGAGCGCCATCCACGGCGACGTTTTCCGCCCGGGACATCTCATGATGGAGCATTTCTGGGCTGTGTGCGCGGCCAGAGGAGTCATGGAGGCCAGCGTCGGCCACCGCCCCTGCGACCCGCCTGCCAGCCCCGCGGGCGGCCAGGCGGACGCGCCCCGGACTTCGTGTCGTCGCCCGGGCGGGCGGTCAGTGAGCAATCTTGCCCCCTTCTCCACCGGTGACATTCGAGCCCACCTGCAGCGCCGCTTCAGGAGTTCAAATGAAAAGGGGGGGCCCGACAATCCGTGTCGACATCGCGTTTGTTTTGAACTGCTGGCGGGGTCTGGGACTTTGTCAAGGCCCTTCGGGCCCAGGGGTGCTCGGCCGTGGATGTTTTAATGCATTTGGCTGGTGAAGATCACTTGCGCTACGCGTGAAAAACTGATTAGCGGTTGGATATCCGGCGGTTGTTTTTCAGGTTTTATGTGGGCTTCCTGTGCGTCTTGGAGCAGAGCACTCCGACATCCTCTGCGCTCGCGCGCTGTGCCCGTGGGGGTCCCCGCGCACGAGCTCTCGACTGTTGAGCGCGCCAGGCTCGCCGCGGGACATGCCGCCTTCCGCTTCAGTTGTAGAATCATCCAGTTGTGCGTTTTGTGCGGGCTTCTTGTCTGCATCGAGAACCCGGCCTCGTCGTTGATCTGGTCCGCGCCTAAGATGTTGCAGTTATGCAATAAGAGTGAACGCCAACTTCGCATGTCAGTTCGGAACGAGGTGGCTGGAGCCCACCCGCATCTCTTCTTGGCCCCCCCCTCTCTCTCTTCCCTGTCTCGGAAGTGCGCGTGCCGACGGCGAGTCTGCAGCCGGCCTCGCAAGCCTCGCGCCGTCCTGTCTGGGCATGGTCCAGGCGGCAAGAACTGGGCCGCCCTTGCCGCCGCATGCCCCCCGAGATTCGCGAGAGCCGTAGCGGAGTTGCTGATTCAAGGCTCCCGGCGCATGTCTCTCAGTCGCCTGTGGGCCCTCTCCTCGGGTCAGGAAGGCCCGCCCTCGGAGGGGTAGCTGGCTGGCGTCTGCCCGATGGTCGGCTGGCCTTGTGGTTCCGATCTTCTTGGTGGACCCCAGTCTGTTATCCTTTCGGGGTTTCTTGGGTCGTTCGGGTGAGCGCTTGTTTGTTTCGTATTACGTATTGACTATCTGGGTTTGGCCGCGGCGGCCCAGTCTATCCTGCGGGAGACGGGGGGTCTCCCAAGTTCCCATCGCCCCCATGTCCCCCGTTTCTCGCCCTGGCCTGGGCGGCCCGGGACGGGTGGCATATTGAGTCTCATATAACTGATTGGCATCCATCGTCCGCCTGGTCGTGCTATCTATGTATATACATATATGTAGATGCATGCTTGCACGTCTGCCTTTCCGGTTTCTCCGCGCTCTCAGACGGCCCCGAGATGCCCCCGAGGTCGTCCCAGGATCGCCTCAGACGCCCACCTTGCGGGGTCCAATTCAGCCCTCGGGGGCCCCGGGGCGGCCCCCGACGCGTTCCCGAGGCACCCCGGGCGGCCCCTGGGCGGCCCCGGCCGACGCGCTCCAAGAACGGCTTCAATCGCTGACAGAGGCGCCCAACGCGCCCCAGATTGCCCCCCCGCGGCCCAATGGGCTTCCAAGACGACCCAAGATGCCTCCAAGAGCACTGCCGCGACGGCCCCAGGAAACAGCATGCATTCATATTTTGTTTTCAGAGTTTTGTTGAAGGGTTTCCGCTATTCT